AGCCCGGTGAAACATACCAATTTGAAAAACTAGCGGAATGCATAGTCGATATAAAAAACTGGATGATGAGTAATTTCTTACTGCTAAATTCTGAAAAAACAGAGGTGTTAATTATAGGACCTAAAAACTCTGCATATAATAACCTAGAACACTCCCTAAGACTTGATGGCTGCTCTGTCAATTCTTCGTCATCAGTTAGGAACCTAGGTGTGCTATTTGATAGCAATCTTTCCTTTGAAAACCATGTTTCTAGCATTTGTAAAACCGCATTTTTCCATCTTAAAATATATCTAAAGTACAACCTATGCTCTAAATGTCAAATGCAGAAATGTTAATCCATGCATTCATGACCTCAAGGTTAGATTATTGTAATGATTTATTGGGTGGTTGCTCTGCACGCTTAATAAACAAACTCCAGCTGGTCCAAAATGCAGCAGCTAGAGTTCTTACTAGAACCAGGAAGTATGACCATATTAGCCCGGTTCTGTCAACACTGCACTGGCTACCTATTAAACATCGTATAGATTTTAAAATCTTGCAAATTACTTATAAAGCCCTGAATGGTTTAGCACCTCAGCATTTGAAGGAAGTATGACCATATTAGCCCGGTTCTGTCAACTCTGCACTGGCTCCCTATTGAACAACAAATACATTTTAAAATCTTGCTAATTACTTATAAAGCCCTGAATGGTTTAGCTCCTCAGTACTTGAGCGAGCTCATATCGCATTATTGTCCTTCACATCCGCTGCAATCTCAAAACTCTGGCCATTTGATAATACCTAGAATATCATGTGTGATATTCATGTGTGTGAGTGTATGTATGTATGTATATATATATATAGTACATACAGTATGATTGTTTTTCACACATATGGTTTCAGTTGGTTCTAAATTGTATTGTTTTTTTTATTATATATATATATATTTTTTTTTTTTTTTTTTGGCTAAATTATTGATGAATCATGATTTCTTTGTGAAGCTGGTTGCACAAAGGAAACTGGTTTTACACAATCAAATAACACATTATTACTGAATGAGACCTGTTGAGTGTGAAAGTTTGACATAATCAGCAGCATTTATTTTTGCAACTCTTCACCTTTGAAGCTGTATGTTCATGTGTGTTTGTGCAATTGCAGTTCAAATTGTCTGTTTTAATTGCGACTGCTGTCTAACAACAAAACATGAGCACATCCTTCAGCAAGCACTGACAGAGCCCAACATTAAAATTCCCTGGGCTTCCAGTGACCTCACAGGTCAACCTCTCCAAATGTCTTCCAAGTCAGTGACCCTTCGGCCAGATTTGGGCTCTCTTCACTCCAGCAGCTGTTAGGGGGTTTATTAGGGTGTACGTTTCTAATGACGGTCCACTACATCATGGATGTGGCATGCCAGGACAGCGGCCGAGAGCCACGTCACGGCTGGAATTACATATTGATTGCTTGTTTGCCAGAGTCTTAACAACCAGCTCTGTCAACACAGGCTCTGAGCTGTCACTGGATGCTTGCGCCATTTACCTGCTCTGGTAATTTAGACAGATGAAGCGCGCAGAGGACGTGTAGAAACCCAGGCGGCATTGCGGTGTGCTGATATCATGCAAAGATTAGGAGATGCTACTGAGTGTCATGGCCTTATGGGGAGTGAGAGATGAGAGGCTGCTTGAATGATTTACACACATTTTCTTCAAACATGTTCTTGCATCGGACACACTTTTTTTCTGAAAATTGCACGCTCTGTATTGGGAATTATGACGCTCGGCAGACATTCTGATCTAAATCCGTATAATATTTTAGAAGACTAAACTAAAGCCCCTTATCAGACCTGGTGGGTGGTGTAAAGTCTGCGTCTTTGGCAAAGGCATGCAAAGATGAACCGAGGTTAGCTCACTGTGTAAGAATGTGTGATTTATTTCCCTTCAACCTTCTACCCTTTTCTTCCCACATCTCCTGAGAAATAAACCCGATCATCCCACCTGAAGGATCTTGCTTTGAGTTAAATGGGTACGTTTGCTGTGCAGTGAACTAATAGATCAGCATATGTTTGATCAGAGCTCTATTTTAGAAAATATAGCATGGACTAGCATATTTCTCATACTGTTTCTTCTGTATGTACTGTACAGTAGTATCTGAACTATGCACAGTGTCTAAAAATGATATGTATGCATGAAGTTTCACAGTGACCTACATACTGCGTTTGTATATGATAGAGCACAATGCATGTAATGCAACTTTCATTTCAGGTTTGGTGAATGAAACATCTTTTTTTATATAGCTACAATCTGCTTTTTATTGCATTAATTGATCTTAAAAAACTGGACAAATAATGCAAAGTAACAGATATACAATAGGGATGGACCGATATTAAATTGCTGGCCTATATATATATATATATATATATATTAATGCCAATACTGTTATGGCTGACAACTGATAAATTCTGTCTAAATATATGAAAAATTAAACCCTCAAATTGATTGTTTTAAAGTGAATTTAGGCATCACAACAGTGTATACAGTATGAAGATGGATATTCATTTTGAGATTTGATAAAGATTACATTTAACAGTGATATTTCTGATGTTGTTTATACCTCAGGTGATTCGCTCAAACAACTGCCCCTGAAGCAAAGATGGCAGCATCAAGATCATAGGTGTATGCTCCAGTAATGCAGTTTTCTCCAGGTATATTAGACCTCTTTGTTTGAAACAGTTATTAATGCTTCTATGTTCTGTTTCACATACTATGAAAAAAAAAGGTAGACAGCATGTCCTGTGCAGTATTCAGTATTCAGTAAGCTAATTTTCCATTCTGAAGAACTCTAGGAAGACTGTGCTATGTTAGTCTACTGCCATCTAGTGGTTCTCACAGCTTCTACGTTCAGTTTTGCAAAGACAAAAAATCACGTGACAATTTTTTATTATTGTCCTCTGTTGCTGGGCAGCACATATTGCTTGCATGTGTGTGTGTGTGTGTGTGAATTAGCACCTGTGTTCCCTCAAGTCTGCACACATTCAGGCAATTATCATATTTCTCATTTTTAGATCAGTTTATAATTGCATGCAAAAGCATGTGTGTGTATGTGTCTATAGAGGCTCCGTTAAGATCCCTGGCAGTCCTCCAGCAGTCAGTGTCGTTGTTCCTGCATTAAAGATGTAGTATATTCCCTCAAACACCTCCACGTACCAAAATAGCTACCTTACTCGCACACCTATTTACAGCACTGCAGTCAAACACACACACACACACACAACTATGGACGAACAGAAACGTGCAGGCCGGTCAGCGAAAAGCCCCTCAATTAAAACTGGTACATGAACCCGCCGGGTCCTAATTTGCTTTCTCCAGTTTCACTGAACTGGCAACCTGAGCAACCTTGAAAAATGTCACTGCACCATTGCGGCCAGCCAACAGGGAGATGGAAAACGCCAAGGTTGAACCCGCGTCTCGGTATATAACAAACAAACAACATTTAAAGGGACAGTTCTGCCAAAAGTGAGCATTCAATCATCATTTACTCACCCTTGTGTCACTCCAAACCTGTAGGCGGAACAAAAAAAGAAGATATTTTGAATAATGTTATTAACCAAACCACTTTGGACCCCATTGATGTGAATTAGCCTATATTAACCCAAATAAATAAATAAATAAATAAAGCCTTTTTCAAAATATCTTTTGAAGAAAATATTGTTCGTTGAATCCCCATGGGCAAAATCCAGTCATTTCAATTGAAGGGTAATTTTGCGTGAGGTCTAAAGATTTCCCCACGTAAATTTCACGACAGAATTTATTTGCTATTGTGACCACATATTTATGCTGCAGTTTAACAAAGGTATTAGAACTTTATGTATGTTCACATCTGCATCTGTCATGTAGACAAGGACACACAGTAGATTCAATCTATCCCATCATGATGTCAGTATATGGATGATGATTAATGGCCATTGATTGACATCTGACTTTTTTTTTGACTTTTTGAAATGTAGCTGTGTGACCGTATGCTTCAGTTTGTGAACATGATGATACTGTATTTCTAGACTAAATGTCAGCATACATTTACTCATCTCACTTACACAAAAAGAGATTCAGTATTCCTCAATATGAATATAAACAGTCAAATGCAAACTCAGAATATGACGCAAACATGCAACAATTAAATATGTTAAATAACACAAATATCCTTTATGTATTTAATCCCATTTTATTAACCAATGTCTTTGCTGCTGACCTTTGACGATCCAATTCAACCATACTTATAAGCAAAAATGACTTTAAATGTACATTTCCTTCAGCGTGAGGCTTATTCATTTCACTTTTGGTGTGAAAGGGCATTTATATTTGCCAAAAATATAACTTTTTAATATTAAGTAAGCCTAACTAAAAGTAACTTAATGCACTTTCCATGAAAAGTAACTAAGTAATGCAATTAGTCACATTTTAAGGGAGTAACGCGATATTGTGATGCATTACTTTTAACTTTCCCCAACACTGGTCATAGACTGCACCATTATCCTGCAGTTTAACAAAGTTTGTAGCTTTTTAGGTATTTATGCATATGCATCTGTCGCAGAGAAATGGACATATAATACATTCATCCATACTGACATCATGAGGTGATATTGATTGACAATGGACGTTTTTATGCTGCAGTTTAACTAAGTTTTTAGCACTTTATGTATGTTTACATGCATCTGTCACAGATAAAACGACATGTAATGGATTCGATCTCTCGCATCATGATACCAGCATGGATGATTAATGGCCAATATATGACAATGAGCCTTTACTGCCCACAAAATATCACCAAAATTAATCTTAACGCTGCATTTTCACGAAGCTTTTAGCATTTTAAGTAGTTTCACATATCCATCTGTCATAGAGAAAACGGCACGGTGTATTCGCTCTGTCCCATCATGATATAATTATGCATGATTAATGGCTAATGACTAATGAATGATGTCATCGGTGATTAACGCTGATTGATTCCGGGACAAACTGTTCTTCTGTTGAAGCGAGTGTGATGTGTTAGCTGTGAGTCAACTTGGACTTCCCATGGACTTCCCAGTGACAGGACACAGATCATGCGCGTGATAATGTGCCATTACATAAGCAATGATGATGACTACAGTAAGCAGAGAGGTCAGTCGAAAGCAACTAGGGCTCCTTTGTTGATTGCAAACACACACATACACATGTTGTCCGGCAGGCGTAGGAGCCGCTCTTCCCTCCACGCGCGGCTCTGGCCCCAACAGTGGCCGCATAGTTGTCTGATGAGTCAGGAATGTGGTTGCATGCCTTACACATGAGCTATTACTGAACACATGCCCCAGTAGAGCACAGCCAGTGCGCTCATTCACAGACGGGAAGGGAGCGAACGAGCGAGAGGGAGGAGGCTCAACAATAGAGAGGCAGGAGTGCGCCGAGCCAAAGTCAGAAGTGAAGAGACACACGAGAGCAAAGAGCGCGGCTGCGGCGGCAGCTGAGACACAAAGGCCCTTTCATCCCCTTATCTTCAGAGGAAACATCTCCACCTCTGATACTAGCGCTCACCTGAGCTCCGAGTGGATTGTGTAGGTTTTCTGCGTGTCGCCTGGATGCCCGTTGACTTGGTGATCCCTCCTCCGCTGTGGACAGACATGCACGAGAGCGAGATGAGGCTGAAGATGCGCGTCAGGCGCATCAAAGAAGGGCGAGATCTGAGAGGTGAGCTGGAAAGAGAGAGTGTGTGTTTGTGGGACTGAAGGTTTTGCATGCATCTTTGGGTTATTTGTGATTAATTTCTCCTTCCGTTTGTCAGTGTAGTCATGGGAGTGTATCAGAGTGCATCATTGCTTTACAGTATGTATGCATATGTGCATGTGTATATACAAGTGTGTGTCTCATTCGCTCTGTGTTATTGCATCTCACTGACCTTCTTATGTTTGGACATTGATGACAAGTGGCTTCAGGGGGGTGCAATCGATTTTTAGTCACCTGTCATCAAGAGTTTCAATCTTTGATGCATTGTCAACACAGAAGAAGACTTGCTTACTAAATGTTCTTTCATTTTTATATATATATATATATATATATAAGTATAATTTAAATTATAATGTATGTGTGTGTGTGTGTGTGTGTATGTGTATATATATATATATATATATATGTATATGTGTGTGTGTAATTTATATACTTAGAATATTAAATTAAATTATGATTTTTATAATTTTATAACACCTGTATTTTTAAGAACCTTACATTTATACAGCTATTTTGGTTATATATAAGAGGAAATAGAAAGTCTTTGATTTTTTTTTAATGCATATTAATGTAGATTAGTATTTACATTTTTTTGTGAATATTTCAAATGAAACCTTTAGGTCTTGCATGTGTGATATTTGAGAAACTCGTCCCAAATGATGAGGTAATGTCATGTGTTTTGTTGCAACATCTTTATTCACATATCTAATTTATTGCATTGCGGGACAAAAGTTCAGGTGAAGAACTGCAATACTACTTCAGCAGATTTTAACTGCCTTCGATCTATCATGCGCTGACATCAACAGCAGAAATATGGAAACCTGATGACTGTGAGATTTGAAATATGACATTGTGTCATACCATCAATCTGAATGTGTCTGAACTTGCTGGAGTATCATGTCCCCCTCAACAAAATTAGCACTCTTGTTGTAAGCTCCTGCTAAGCAAGGTCCTAAACACTACAGATCTGTATTTAGTCCTCATGCACACTCATGCACACACTCACATAATGCACACTGTTCTTTTTTTATTTCATTTCAAAAAGCGCAGCCACAACTCTGCTCTTGTTCCATAAAAAAATAATACAGTCTTCACAAAAGTGACTTGCAAAAGAGAAACAAAAGCAATTAATCAGAACACCAACAATAATCATAATATACCATGCCAGGTTTATTAGACAACTAGATTCGGATCACACCAGTATATGCACTCTGAAAGTGAGGGTTTTTTTACTCAGCCATTGAGTTTTCCAGCCTGTAAGTGTAACTCCTGCACACCATGTGAAGCACTGAGGATATTTTGGGGGACTGATATCATTGAAATCTCTCTGCTCACTAGAGAGGGGATCTATGCTGCTTTTCCCCAAATCCTAATTCAGAAGCTGTAATACTTCAAACCAGATGTTCAGGAAAACCAAAACACATTTTTGTGGATCTTGCCATTAAGTTGCTAAGTCACAAGTTGAGGTTCACTGCTGTTCTTTTTTTTTAGTATGTCTGTCTTGTTTTCCAGTACAAATATTGAAACATTATTAAATTGAGATGCATTTAATGGAGATGCACAGTGACTTAAGAATTCTTGTTTTCTGAGAGACGGATCAAAATGAAATGAGTTTATGTTTAAAACAAGAACAAATACCTGCCAGCAGAGTCAGAAAACAGTATATGACAGACCCCACTGTCATATATTTGTTCTTGTTTTAAGCATAAACTCACTTCATTTTGATCCGTTTCTCAGAAAACAAGACTTCTTAAGTCATTTGCTTTTCATGTAATTGTCTTGATTTAAAAATAGATATCTGTACTGGAAAATGACAGAAATTCATGGTTAGAAAATTGTTACTTTTTATTTATTTATTTATATTTTTTTGCAGTTTAAATGTGACTGTGCATGTATTATTTTACTCCAGCAACATGTCAGATTCTTCAATGCAAGCACTTTCTGGAAGTTTTGCAATTTATGCAAAACAAGACGGTTGCTTGCAACACATAATATGTGTTAATCCTACACTAAAATCAATAATGAAGTCATTTTTATCTTGGCGTGCCGCATGTCATGCAACCCTCAGAGTGGATTTGCTCCGCCCGTCTGTCCACCACACTAGGACACGCTGACATCATGCCTGTGGAATGTCAGCCAACCAGGTCTGCACTAATTCGGTCAAGGCACTTCACGTCTGCTCGCCTTTTCTTTTTCTGCATGGCCTGGAAACTGGCTTTCACTTTGGCTTGTGATGTCATAAAGCAGGCTAATCAGTCGTGGGATGTTAAAACCTCATGTCAGAGCATGTTCGCCTCGCCTGCATGGTGCCGGTGCACTGGGTGCTAGTCAAAACTTCTGGGGTGCATATGTGTGCATGTGTATCCCGAAGAGGAGAGACGGCCCGTTGGCCACCCGCGTGTTGAGCGATGATGTCATGCTGCTTGGCGGTTGCTTTTAATAGCTGGAAACAGGCAGCCCTTGAGCTGGGCCTTAAAGGGCCAGGCGCTCCTTTTAAACAAAGCATGTTGCAAATTTGAATATTTGGCTTGTGCTTGTATATAATCAAACCTGAATGAGTGAGTGGTTTGAAACAACTTCCTGGTAGCTTGTTGAACTCTTGCCGTGAAGTCAATGGCCTGGGGTCACACCGGTGTTAATCGAATAACACTGACACTTTTTTCCGTGACAAGAGCGGGTCATGATGTCATTTGTGACTCACGTGAAAAGGTCTTTTAAACAGGTCTGTTTGGTTTGACTCACATAGCATTATCTAATGGCCTTGCCGAATGATGTCATGTGAACATTACATTGAAAAGTCCAGAACTCTTTATCTGCTGTGAACTGGGTTAGTAAATGTTGAATTGGATGAAATGAATAATTGCCTTCTCCAGTCACATGCATCTGCTTATGAGTCTTCATGCCTATGAGCTCATCTGCTTTTAATGCCTGTATTCAAATGTTTAGCTTCTTCTGTCGCTATTTTGTTTCTCAGTCTCTCGCTGTTTTGTAACAGTCATTCTCCCATCTTGATTTGCATGTGCCTGTATGTCTCAGACAAACGACCCAGGCAAACTCAAACACTAATTCAAAGGGATGTCATTGCCCTGTCTGCCTGAGGTAACATGCCTCAGATGTTTAGATGAGCGAGTACTGATTCCAAATCAGCAGTTCCTTTTTTTGTCTTTATTTCAGTTTTTTAAAGGAATAACACACTCACATTGTGAATTTGAATAGTGCTGTTTTAGGATTGAGGTCACCAAATAAAGAGACTGAAAATGGCTTCATTTGAGATCCCAATATAATTGCAGATGGAAATAAGGCTAAATCTGGTACAATGCATTAAATGGAAAACAGTTATGTTAAAACATTGTACATGGTCCAAACAAACAAATAAATACTGAGGCCAGTACATGAGTATGTGTGAGTCAGTATTTATTTTGAACTTTATGCAAAATTTTAATTACACACATATGATATGAGTTGTATGCAATCGCATTTTATAAAGCAAACCTTTCTGTCAGGCTGCTTTGGAATGATATTTATTGTGCGGTATATATTTAGAAGTGCTATACAAAAAAAAAAATAATAATTTTAAATATGAAAATGTTTCAACTATATTCTAATACTGCTTAGAAAAAAAGTTATTTTGTTAACTAAATACGAATGAAATGTTTTAGTTTTTTGCATTTTTTTTTTATTTTTATAAATTTTAGCACAAATGATGTATAACATCCAAAAGTCTATAATATCACTTTTGGGGGTACTTAGCAATAAAACGTTTAAAATCCTCTACTAAACTATACGATTATAGGCCCGTTCACACAAGAACAATAAGTGTCTACTTCAATTTATGGTACCATTCTTTTTATTATAAGCTGATTTGTCATCAAATGATTGAGCAGGATGGATTCTGATTGGCTGTCAATGTTTTTATCGTTCATCAGCCGGGGGAAAAAATCGTTCTGTATGAGTTGTATGCAATCGCATTTTATAGAGCAAACCTTTCTGTCAGGCTGCTTTGGAATGATATTTATTGTGTGGTATATATTTAGAAGTGCTATACAAAAAAAATAATAATAATTTTAAATATGAAAATGTTTCAACTATATTCTAATACTGCTTAGAAAAAAAGTTATTTTGTTAACTAAATACGAATGAAATGTTTTAGGTTTTTGCATTTTTTTTTTTATTATTATAAATTTTAGCACAATGATGTATAACATCCAAAAGTCTATAATATCACTTTTGGGGGTACTTAGCAATAAAACGTTTAAAATCCTCTACTAAACTATACGATTATAGGCCCGTTCACACAAGAACAATAAGTGTCTACTTCAATTTATGGTACCATTCTTTTTATTATAAGCTGATTTGTCATCAAATGATTGAGCAGGATGGATTCTGATTGGCTGTCAATGTTTTTATCGTTCATCAGCCGGGGGAAAAAATCGTTCTGTGTGATTCCAACGATGTTGTTCCTTTGTTCCAGGAGTTGTGGTGTGGACTTGCTATTCTTTTAAGTGTAGAGCAAGTTTTAAAAAGATGTCTTATTGTTATCATCATAGTTATGGCCTATGGTGTGAACGGGCCTTTAGAGGCTAGAATCATTCACAATGAAAGTGTGTGAGAGAGAGTGTGTGTGTGTGTGTGTGTGTGTGCTTCCTCTGAGCTCTGGTTGGGTGTCAGTGTTCCTGTGGCCTGCCTCATTCCCACTGTGTGATGCTGGTCACAGGGAGAGGAGATGAAGAACAAGACACTGACACCCTATCTGCCTCGTAAAGTGGCAGAGCTCAGCTTTCACCAGCCCGTTGCTTTTCTCATTTCCTTTTCAAAGACAGGGTTAGCCACTCTTGCAACCCAGCAGTAGTGTAGACCAATACGCTAGCTAAAGCTATAGCGGTTAGAGACTGGTTTGCTTGAGTGAAAAGCATGGGTTCAGAGAGTGTAAAGACTGATTTCTTCATCCTGGTGGAGGGTCATCTACTGTACACGAAGTGTGCTGGATATGCTAGTGCAGGATGTCTCTGCTGTAGCGGAAAGGCTTCTTGGCCCCTGTGGAGTTTGTGTTTGGGCTTTATGTGTAATTCAGTTGGTTAGGATGTTTGGAAACCCCCTTCATTGTTACTATTATTCCATTCTTACTGTAAGTAATTGAGTTTGCAGCAAACTGTGTGTGTAAGAACAATGTACACATTATATTTTATGGTTGTTGTTGTGTTGGTCTGCCCTCTGAATCATATCCGATTATATTCAAACTAAAACAGTTCTCTTCTTCTCTGTACTCTTTCAGGTGGCTTTGCAGCTTTCTCTTCCTGTTTTCCTGACCTGTGTGAGAATAAACCAGCCACTATTCTACCTATCAGTCTGTCCCAACCCTGCTATCACCTACAGACCCCTTGAATATCGTCGTATCAAGAAAATGCTTTCAGTTTCTAGCGCTCAACAATTCCTGTAGTGAAGACATAACAAATTCATCTTGCATCATCAGATAACCAGGAATAGTTTTCTTTTACCTGGAGGGTGTTTGCGCATACCTTGGAACAACTGAATTGTAGTGTATCTCATCACTTACTTAGATAACAGGCAGCTGAATGCATTCCGGGAAAGTACTTTCATTGATGTTGGGTTGTTAGCCCTGTCAAATTGACATGAAACTCACCACCAAAACATTTTTTTCTTAACAGATAATTTTTCTACATATTTCTCCTTTACAATAGCTTTAGCATGCGTGACAGACTCACTGATACAGCCGGAATCTGCTCAAGGAAGTTGTTGGATTTTTTTTCCCCCCTAGTTCTATATTTGTCGGTGGAATTCTGTAGAATTGGTCTGTCTGTATGAACTTCTTCATAACTTCCATCTTTTAACAGGAACTGATGACTCAGAATGGAATCACCTACGTTCTAAATGCCAGCAACACTTGCCCCAAACCTGACTTCATCAGCGACAGCCACTTCATGCGCATTCCCGTCAACGACAGCTACTGCGAGAAGCTGCTTCCTTGGTTGGAAAAAACCAATGAGTTCATTGGTAAGAACGTCAGACTTGTGGTTTGCTGAATGGACAATGGAGTAGTCTAGAAGCGAGTTTGTAAGAAGTTAGAGAACTTAGAACCTCTAAGGTTTGGGGTTTTGTTAACACGAGCCATCTGTGCATCAGCATTTGAGGGAGGTATGAGTGACGTCAGCGTTCGAGTTTGGCGAGTGAGATGACCTCATGCTTTGTGTGCAGTTTAACAGTGGAACTGCTTTTGACTGGTTTGCTGTTTCTCTCTATCCACAGACAAAGCCAAGGTGTCAAACTGCAGAGTCATCGTCCATTGCTTGGCTGGCATATCCCGCTCTGCAACCATTGCCATTGCCTACATCATGAAAACTATGGGCCTGTCTTCAGATGATGCCTACAGGTAACTGCAGCTCTTTCCGGACCAAGCCTAGACCAAGGTCCAAGGTTGTTTGCTTCCGGTCTAACTGGTGGAACAGCATAGTCGTATTATTCACCAACCAAAAATGCTGGTTATGAAGCCTGGTATCAGAATCCCATGACGGGGACCGTCATCCAAATCACAATATTGTTTTTGTCAAATAAAATCTGGTGTTTAGCTGTTGTGTTTTGGATTGCCGTCTCCACCATGAGATACTGGTATTCTTAACAAGCTTAATCAGCAAGCCTCCGTTGGTTTACCAGCATAGTTGTCTGTCTGTGTTGGTCCACCAGCTAGATCAAGACCAGACCAGCAATTGCATAGCTGCCTAGAAAACCAGTTGAATCCAATAGCATCCAATTGAATTTGTTCATATCTCATGTACTTTCTGTAGGTTTGTGAAGGACCGTCGGCCATCAATATCTCCGAACTTCAACTTCTTGGGTCAGCTGCTGGAGTTCGAGAGAGGCTTGCAGATGAAGAGGAGTCTACCCTGTGACCCTATAAGGTTATCAGGGAAGCCAAATGAAAAGGTGGAGGAGGAGGTCCAGAAGATGGAACAGCAAAGCTCAGAGAGCGATCGCTGTGACCAGCGGACTCCGCAAGCTACAGAGATCACCGTAAAGCCTCCATCGCCTACATCACTGCAGAAAGACCTAAGCTCCCTTCACCTGTCCAATGAACGAATCCTTCAAAACAAACGGCTCAAGTGCTCCTTCTCGCTTGACATCAAGTCTGTCTACTCCTCGAGCCAAAACCAGCAATCTTCTCCAAACTCCTCATCGTCAGACTCTGAAAACATACCCAAACTCTGCAGACTTGACAGCCTGAAGAACAGCAATGGAGTATGCCAGTACCCTTCAACAATGAACCACCCAAGCCCTACGGAGTCACAGTGTACTGACGTGACTAGCAAGTCCAGGATGAGCCAGCAAAGCGAAAGGTGGGAAAATGGTGGCTTGGAGAGGCTATCCGCAACAACTCTTTCCCTCAATCTGAAGCAGGATAACTGCGAGCCAAGACCCCAGGAGACCAACTTGAAGGCGCCTTCTTTCCTCAGTTTGCCGCTGGGTACATCTGCTTCTTGGACCATGCATAGAGGCTCAAATGAGGCCACAACCCCTATCACACCCACGGGTGACTGCCATTGGTTCTTAGGCACTAATTTGGCACCATCTGGAACAGGGAGCACCATGCACTTTGGCAGCAGTCCTGCCTGTGGCAACTCCAAGCCCAGCAAACACCGAAGGGACAAAACGCCGGAGCCGCTGGACTTTCAAAACAATTGGCTCGAGGATGGGAAAGCAGTAGTGTGCAGTGTATCGCAAGTGGACATGAAGTACAAGCGCCGCAGCTGCCAGATGGAGTTTGAAGAGGGTATTAACACAACACAAAGCAGCGAGGAATTTGGGAAGCTGGGCAAGCAATCCAGTTTCTCTGGTAGCATGGAGGTCATCGAGGTATCCTGACAAAGATGACAATCCAACTCCAGTGAAAGCTGTTTATTTATCACAGTTCTGTTCTGTTGTTAAAGAGCTTTGCATCTAAGAGGGACTTGTCTCTGCCACCTTTTTCAAACCAGGGTTGAAAATGGGTCATTTAGGATACACTAAATATAGCACTCACACCAAAGACCTCACGGAGTGACCTTATTCTGGCATGTTATCCTATGGTACACTCACAATGAAGGAGGACTGACGGAGGACGTCCTTTTAGCATGATCATACAAAGACACTAAACATGAAAGAATGAAATGAGTGTGTGTATGTGTGTGTTTATGCTGGTTTTGATGCAAATTAGGGCTGCCACACTTAACAGTGACTTCTTACCTTCGGCCTGAGGGGGAACTGTACAGTATGTATGCCCAAGTTTGAGAAGATCTGTTTAGCTATAAATTGAGTAAAGAAGGGCAGTTGCATTCAATAATGTCCCTATTCAGTGTTATACTTTTTATCAACAGTGTAATAAAAGAGTGAAAATATGAAGTGTATGTTCAAGCTGAGATTCTCTCAGACCTACTACTGTGCACTGAGCATGCTCAGAATGGCTGGCTACCTACAAATAGACAAGCTTCTCCAAAATATTATTTAGATATCTTTCGAGGAACGTTTTAGCTGGACTTTCGTCTAACATTTTTGAAAAGTTACTACTTCAGAATGTTTAAAAATATTTTAAACGTTGACAAAACCAAGAAAAATGTTTAAAAAGCTGAACGTTACAAAAACATTCTTAGAACACGTTTTTGGTAGCTGGGTATATATATTAATTAACAACAATCCCCTGCAACAGATTACAGTGCTGCGGTTAATTTCCAAATATTAAAGTTGCAATCAATATCTAAATCTAATTGTGTATAAGTGACGTTCATTAGTAAGTGTTAGAGTAGATGTTGTTTGGAGGAGACAGATTTGTGATGCTTTGTTTTAGACTTTCCATTAAGCTGCTTGACAGGCTAAGATTTGTGTTCTGTATTCTATATGGTCAGGATCTAATTTAGGCAGAGTTTCTGTAGGTGTCCGTGTGTGTGTGTCCGTGTGTTTGTGTGTGTCCGTCCGTGTGTTTGTGTGTGTCCGTGTTTGTCCGTGTGTGAGTGTGTGTGTGCTTGTGTTTGTGTGTGTGTGTGTGTGTCCGTGTGTGTCTGTGTGTCCGTGTGTGTGTGTCCGTGTGTGTGTGTGTGTGTGTGTGTGTGAGTATATCCGTGTGTGTGTGTGTGTGACTGTGCGCGCAATCAATGAAAAAGACTTTCACATCAGTAACAGCAAATACATTTCAGACAACTCAGCACTAATGAAGGCTACCATTCACTCGCTAATGATCTGCACCTTACTGAAGCCACAAACACACACACAATAGATGCTTAAATTTACAACTGTACTTGACTGGCTGAGTGGTTTAAAATCTATGAGCCCTAATTGTCTTTTGCGTGTCAGATTCCTTGTCCGAGTGTAATTAAGAGAAGGACATAATGATGAGCGTATGAGAAATATAACTCACCCAAGTAGAGTATCTTTTAATTAAACTGCAGTAATTAAACTACCTTATTAAACAAAATAATAATAAAAAACTATATAAAAAGTACTTTGCTACTTTAAATGTTAAAGGAATATTTCACCCAAATATGAAAACTGGTTGGAAATATCCTCACTCTCAGGCCGTCCAAGATCAGGATGAGTTTGTTTCTTCATCAGATTTGAGATTTTAACGGCAAACTGTTTGTTCCGGCTAAAATAGTCCATAAACCACAACTTCCTCCGGTGATAAAGTCATCTGGTCTGAATCAGGAGAGAAATCTGCACAGATCAAGTTTACAAGCCAATTCAGACTTCCAGGTGCAATGAACCAGAGAAATGTTTTTGAACTGTTTTCCATTTTACTGATATTTAATAGGTTACTCATATGAGTGTACTTTTTTTTTTTGTATGTGTAAAATGTTGTTAAAGAGAGAACAGCAACTCTTTTCACCTAGAATGAGTTTTTGCGTGTTTGCAGGCCTGTGCATGAGAGAGTGTGTACAAACGATTTGAGTATATCCAGACGTGACACTGTAATGTGGAGCACATGGCGCCCAGATCCAAACCCTCGGTATGGAAACTGTTAAAGAATCATTATGTCATCAGGACATTTTTCCCTTTCCATGATCTCTAGAGCAAGTGACTAATGCGGCTTTCAAAATAAGCAACACTTCTCATGCCACTTTTCTCTCTCGCTCCTCCTCTAGACTTGCATAAGCATCTCGCAGTGAACTACTTTTCTTTCAACAAATACAGGCCAAGGTAATTAGGATAAATGAATAAAAACTTCATTCGGGGAAAATTGGTTTAAATGTCAGAATAAATAGAGATTAAACAGCTGATGGCTGAGTTTAGGAGATGTTTACTTTTGCAATGGCCCATGCAGCTCTATATGTGAGGAATTATGATTCAGTTCAGGGTTATTATCGTTAACTAAAACTGAAATCACAACCATAGCATTATTTTTTCTACTTGAGATGAAATAAAATAAACATTAACTGAAATAAAAAAATTAAAAAAAACAATGTTTTCATTTTTAAATGTATTTAATTTTTTAAAATTATATTTCCATTTGATTATATTTCATATTAAGTTCATATCAAGCACTAAAATAACTAAAACTATACCGGAAGCTAAACCTACAAAATGACAAAAACAGACAGCAACATTACTAAAACTTTAACTAAAATTAAAATGTAATATAAATTAAAATATTTAAAAAAACGTGTATCTCATTTGTAAAAAATGACATATAATTTATATATGTTTTATTATATTTCAGTTTTATTACATTTCATACAGTATTAAGTTCATACTACAATTTCTATAAATAACTAAAACAAGGAACTAAAACGGCATAGACATATTTTTGAAAATAAAAAAATGAATAAAAATGACAAAAACACATGCTCGAAATGACTAAACCTTTAACTAAAATTTAAATATATTATAAATTAAAATAAAATATAAAAATAAAATCTAAATAAAAAATGTATGCATGCATTTATTTTATTTATTTTTTTTTATAACGTAGACCAATGAATCATACACAACAATAGCAGAAGCATTGTATAAGAGTATGTATTGTAGAGAATGTTGTCTTTTGGTGCTTTTTCTAGTTTAATTTGTCATTTATCAGTGTCCAACAATATGTGAATCAGTTTAGTTATTTTTGTTGTTATATCATTTTGGTCCAACAATTTAATTTTCAGCACATATTAATAATTGATTGTGTTTAACATCATTCTGTGATGGAAATGACCGTTTTTTAACCAAAGGGCCAATATTTTGTCTTTGCTAATACATGAATGTAGCATTTTATGTATATGAAACATAAATAAATTCATAAATATGTATAAAAATATTATTTGAACATTATTTTTGCTTAATTTGATAAAATTGCAGTTCGGAAATGACACAGTTTAAATTAAATTAAATTAAATTAAAATAAAATAAAATAAAATAAA